CACTGCCACAATCAGGAAATTGTAGGTGGGGTCGATGAGCCACTTCATGTATGGTCTGGAATCAGGCCAATTAACGAGCTCCCGCAGATAAACCAGAGCCACTTACAATCACCAGAGGATGAATTTTCGTCCTCTCAACTTGGTGGAGAAACTCATCAGCCGCGTGAAGACAATAGTTAGGGATTCCTGGGCAGATGGTATTTAAAATTCTCCATCGTTTGGAAGCATTTTGCAAAGTCCCTGAGAGGGGTGAAAAGTCATGACTCAAGACACTTGCCCCGGCCCTTAATGAGGCTTCCCACCCCGAACATCGTACGCGTTTTAGGGAAAAGTACGAAAACAACGCGGAAATCCAAAGCTTTGACATGTACGAGTACCGGTTCCTTATATTGTATACATACACAAACAAAACAATCACCGAGATTATCATTGTTTGAATGAAAACCAAAACTCCTGTTTATAGTTCATGTTGACCTCTGTTTCACTTGCGTTCTATCAAAGCAGTCAGCTAGAATCCACGAAGAGGTACAAATAATAAAAACAGGCGCCTAACGTTATCTTTCTCCGGACTGATACTAAACTTTTATCGTTACTCGTACTCGTATGTGGCCCTTGTATGGTTTCTGCTCGGGCCAGTCAGGACATACTTTTAAGGGTTTACGGGTGTGGATGGGTAAACACACACAGAGAACGGCAAGCATGACTGGTCCAGTCAATCATGCTCGGCTGAGGACAACAACCGATCATGGCAAAGTGTGTCTGTGTGTGTCAAGTTCCGGCAAACATGATGGTCTCTCACGAGTGCATGCTTGCGTGCCCACACACCGCCCAACAAGCACTCCTGTGGACCAACGTGGATGGAAAAAATGAATGCAAGAATTTCAGCTCACATGCAGCTGCTACACAGTGTGTAAATTCGGATCGCAATGGTAGTGGCCAGTGTGTTTGGATAAAACGATCAAAAGTAGCTGGACGAAACTCCGCTAGTTTGGACCACAAATCAACTTCTCTGGTCCAGAACGATTTTTATTTATGGTTCAGTAATGCTGCTGCTGCGACGTCACTTTGTATCGGCAGTCCGAGAGAGAGAGAGAAGAGAGATGAAATGAACCTATGAGAAAACGTTTCAAATTGCGCAACCCAGGTGAAAAGGAAATAATTGAGAAACGCGGCTGGACAACAGAGGAAAAGATGAGACAGAGCGGGAACAGGTGTCTGTGATCAGCGTCAATGCTTGACCTGTCAATTCCCGTAATCGAACATTTATCTCTGATGTCTTACCGTGTAAGACCACTGACAACGGTCTGCTTATGTGTATTACAGTTAGCAAAAGCAATAGAACCCTGGCCCAACTGCACAAATAACCGTTCCACAAGCCGTGAGTACATCACTTCGGTTAGTGACGTAATGTTTCCAAACTAATTGTCCGTTCCAGATTCACCAACTTTGCTTAATACGTGCGTAAATACCTCGTATCCAGTGTCAACTTCATATTGATTTCACAGATGCTTCTGTTCTGCGCATCCCACTCAAGTCCTGGAAGGATGCAGTCACCAAATTTGTGATGAACAGCAGACGGGGTGAACCCCATATATATACATATATATATATATATATATATTATTTGGAAAAAAATTTAGTCTAGTACAAATATTGTTGCCTATACGAACACAAGTGTTTCACAGGGACCTGTTGCTTCAGTTTCGATTAGACCTGTATAAATATAACACGCAGTCAATTACATAGAATTGGTAGATATACCCCAACATATGAAGAAAGAGATGTGAAAACGGTCAAAATGTAAATCAACGGATAGGAGTCTCGCAACAGGTGCCTTCTTCGACCAGGGTAACCGGTAACATGCCCATACAACTTATGAAACACACAGTATACATTTCTGAACCCCATAGTCCTATAGACCTGCTATTTTGTGAGAGAAACTAGCTACCTAATCGGGACTTGAAGTGGCGAACCACATAAGATCCCACTAAGTTAGGTGTGGTAATTAACCGGAAGACAGCAAGGCTCCCTACCACCCAAGTCAGGTGACGGTGGTGGGGTTCGAAACTCGGACCATAGATTCTAAAGCATGCCTGTTTCAGCGACTAAACCACTAGGCCACCACCACAATTCTCAGTACTCGACTCACCGTCACATGCCTCTTCAGTGTTCAGATAAGAAAAGTAACCAATTTTAGCTTATTCCGGAGCATCAACTTTCCAGGTACTGATGTTACAGGCCCAGTCCTGCAGTATCACTTTACAATGTAGAATTGCAAAAGTGGGAGACGAAATAAGCTGACAGTGCTTATCATTCTGTCGCGTGCATTTTGCGCATCATGCACAAAATCAAACAGAAGGATGATGTAGACAATGCACTACACAGTCATCAGCTTTCTCTCTGCTTCGATTACATATCTTTTTGTGTGCGTATTAATCCTTACTTGTATCATGACGATTGTATTCTAGAGGATTCCACAGGTTGTTTGAAAGATTCCGGTTCAAAGTAATGATTAACTGTAAAACGTTACGCTTAACAATGATCTCATGTCAATGGAGCTATCGGAAAACTATGAGAAGTCCGTTTCTTGTCCCACGAGGTCAACTAGACTCCCAGTCACGTGACCAGACGGTAGCCTGGTTAAATCCCATCGCAAACCGGACTCCTTTACCTGACGGGACGTATACCGGTGATCAGTCAGTCTTTTCATGCTACGAAGACAGCCAGATTTGCGTTGCCTTGCTGCGTGCATTGTGCTAGACCTCGACCTCGTCTGGGTCTGGCATATCCTCTCCCCTTTGTCCTCATCTCCCATTAACTGAAAATCGTCGCACACACGCCCACCACCACCAATCCACAATCCGAATTGTGCGACTGTCCATTATTCGGTGAATCTCAGTACACAGTCGGAGAAGGGCTGGACATGTCAGAGATGAAGTTGTCGGAAGCACTGACGGGGTACAGTACACAAATGGACGCACACATACAGAATGCGGCAAGGATCCTGTATAAATCTACCCACGATCATGTCAAACGGGCTCATAATGTCTCCTCACTCAGTACCGATAGTGACTTTTGACAAGAACCGGACCGGTTGTCCCGACTAGATGCAAATTTGATTCGGATAATAATATTATTCCCATTGTTCCACCAGTTGTAGACCAGTCTTAATGTATGTAAAGTTGGTGGAAAGACGCGGGTGCATGGGATGAATATATCGGGATCGGTGNGTGCCCTGATGAGGTACATCCAAGGTTTGTGCACAGATATAGCACAGCACTAAGTACACGGCACGGCTGCTGGGTAAACCAACTGTATGCCGGACAGACTGACCGACAGAGCAGAAGATCCGTATGATCGCGACAAAACACGACGA